TCACAGTTACATTAAACCATATATTTATAAAAACATTAGCAGGTGTACAAAGCCCTGTCTATGACATCACTTGCTGCTGCAGCCTGGCACAGGTCAGAGTATTTTGGCGGTTGCCATCTTCAAACGGTCGTATTTTAAAAACTATAAATCCTACAATGAAGAGCTTTATATTGTGAGAATCACAAGACCCAGACCTACATTTTGATGCATAGTATGTCTCTGAAGTATTAAAATTGAAGGCACAGTCGCAGTTTAGAAATTGCACTTCAAATTTGAGCTTTGCAGAGTGAAGTTTCAATGAATGTCAATGGGCGGCGTTGGTTGCAAACAAATGGTCATATTGTGAAAACTATCAGGACTACGGCTTAGCCGTTGACATGTTTAGTGGCAGCAGGGATAGCTGAACGTTTTGATATAAGATTTGTGTAGGTGGGCCTGAAAATAAGGGGGTGGTGGCAGTTTAGAAATCATGTCCTGATTTTTCAGCTTTTGCCAGCTCCCACTCTAGCTTTGCCATTCATTCCTATGGGACAAATTGCGCCACAAAAACGACGATATTCCGTGAACCATTCGGCGAAACGTTCCACAAGTAATAGCAATCCGATGGGGTGCGTTTTATTAAGAATTTTTTTGTCTGGCTGCTGTAGGAATTAGGGTGGCAAATTTTGCTATAATAACTAATAATAATAATAATAACCGAAAAGTTACAATTTCTGGGGGAAATTGTGAAGTATTCTTGCCTCCACCTGTAGTCTACAACTGGAATTGATGAGGTAACTGTTATCATTTATATAGCACATTTAATTGCAACGTTGTTGCACAGTTACGATAAACCATACATTTATAAAAACATTAGCAGGTGTTCCGCTGTCTATGACATCACTTGCTGCTACAGCCTTGACAGGTCAGAAGAGTATTTTTGGTGGTTGCCATCTTCAAGGTCGTATCTTAAAAGCATATAACTCCTACAGTGAAGCTTTTATATTGTGAGAATCCTGAGACCCAGACCTACATTTTGATGAGCAATAATACTCTGAAGTAGTATTAAAATTGAAGGCACGATGCATGGTTTAGAAATTGCACTTCAAATTTGAGCTTTGCAGAGTGAAGTTTCAATGAATGTCAATGGAAGGCGTGAGTTGCAAACAAATGGTCATATTGTGAAATCTATCAGGACTATGGCTTAGCCGATAGCTAAACGTTTTGATATAAGATTTGTGTAGGTGGGCCTGAAAATAAGGGAGTGGTGACAGTTTAGAAATCATGTCCTGATTTTTCAGCTTTTGGCAGCTCCCTCTCTAGCTTTGCCATTCATTCCTATGGGACAAATTGAGCCATAAGAACGACGATATTCCGTGAACCATTCGGCGAAACGTTCCACAAAGTAATAGCAATCCGATCGGGAACAATCTGCACGTTTTGGTAAATTTTGGTCTATGTAGTGTAAAAACTGTGGGAGGAGTTAGGGTGGCAAATTTTGCTATAATAATAATATATATGTGAGATAACATTAAGTGGTCTTGCTATGCAAGAACACTTAATACTAATATATATGTGAGATAACATTAAGTGGTCTTGCTATGCAAGAACACTTAATAATAATAATATATATGTGAGATAACATTAAGTGGTCTTGCTATGCAAGAACACTTAATAATAATAATAATAATAATATATGTGAGATAACATTAAGTGGTCTTGCTATGCAAGAACACTTAATAATAATAATAATAATAATATATATGTGAGATAACATTAAGTGGTAACATTAAGTGGTCTTGCTATGAAAGAACACTTAATGAGTGACGACAACCTATATGCCGGTTACAGGGTCAGAGTTGGAGGGTTTAATATGCCGGTTACAGGGTCCGGGTTGGAGGAGGGTTTAATATGCCGGTTACAGGGTCCGGGTTGGAGGAGGGCTTAATATGCCGGTTACAGGGTCCGGGTTGGAGGAGGGTTTAATATGCCGGTTACAGGGTCCGGGTTGGAGGAGGGCTTAATATGCCGGTTACAGGGTGTAACGGAGCTTCCTGTACCCCGGTTGGGTACCTCAGCTACTAGTGCTCACCAAGTACTCCAAGCACTCCACCAGACACCATCAGCACTGCATTGCCCATATCCAGCATTACAGCTTGGCTGGGAACTCGGCATCTCCTACCCACCCTGGACCTACGACAAGGTTCCAGGTTCCAGTGGGTGAACCTCTCTTCATCCAGAGAGCGTAGGAGGAACAGCTCTTAAAAGCTTAGTGATTATAATCCCAGGGGAGTAAAGTGATATAGCAATCCCCAGGGTAGATGTAGCCTCCACCAGACACACTGGCCTTTTATGTAAGTTTCCCAACAAGGATGACGCCCAAGTGGACCTTGTTGGGCACAGGACACAAAGTATGCAAGCCAATAAAAACAATGTGATAGGAATCGACACTCGCACATACAGCACACAATCCCTTCCCTCTGCCTGTGATATAATTAAGGCAGATACTGGATTCACGTAATCATCCCCAGGCAGAAAAAACACACATTTTATAAAGTCCAATAAGTACCCCAAAGCGCAACATATCCCCTGATAGCCCTGATCTGGGTGAATAACATCCAAAAATCCCGCAGATCAGGGGTCCAGAAATTCTATGGAAGTCATTTTTGCCCAGGTGAACACAGGATTTCATGCCCAAAACAGTTCCATAGTATCACGGCTAAGTGCCACTGGAGGACCGACCGGGAACAGCGAGGTTTTCATGCCGAAAATAGTTCCAGGGCATTCGCAGCCAAGTCCCCCTGAAGTCTATTCGCTGATTTAGTCCACTTTTAATATGCCGGTTACAGGGTCTGGGCTGTGGATTGTGCTGGAGAAGGGTTTAATATGCCGGTTACAGAGTTCGGATTGGAGGAGGGTTTACTATGCCAGTTACAGGGTCCGCGCTGTGGATTGTGCTGGTGGAGGGTTTAATATGCCGGTTACAGGGTTCGGGTTGGAGGAGGGTTTAATATGCTGGTTAGAGGGTCCGGGCTGTGGATTGTGCAGGAGGAGGGTTTAATATGCCGATGTAACGGACCGTTTTGCACACGAGGTTAAACGTTTAGGCGATATTCCCCTTTTCAGATGCATCGACAGATACTGCAAACACATGAATTCACCAATCTCCCGAACGGTAAACACATGAATGCTATAAACAGCCGAACGGGAAAAACCATACGAACAGTTTACACTCCTGGCAGTCGCACTGTAACAGCATACAGTTTTTCAGTATACGGCTCGGCATCATGGCATCTGGGGTAGCATGGCTTTAACAGTCCGCAGAAAGGCACGAACCAGCCTTTCTGCAGGGAAAAAGAACAGTGTTAAACATGGGGCCATAGTCCAGCGGCAGGAGGCGGACGACCAGGCTCCTCCAGTGGCGAGGTTGGAGGAGGGTTTAATATGCCGGTGACAGGGTGCGGGGCTGTGGATTGTGCTGGAGGAGGGTATAATATGCCGGTTACAGGATCCGGGCTGTGGATTGTGCTGGAGGAGGGTATAATATGCCGGTTACAGGATCCGGGCTGTGGATTGTGCTGGAGGAGGGTATTGTGGCAAACCTAGCCACTCGGACTATAACTGGACACTATGCCTTTAAGGGTTGCCTATAGGTCTGGAGAGAGATGCGTTGTACCTGTATGTGCCTGTTTCATGTATTCCCTGCATTGCCTGTACCTATCTGTTCCGCCGAATGCAAATGGCGGTTTGTATGGGGATTCTCGTTCGTTTCACGAACGGCACTTTGGAGGGCCGTTCGTGAAGCGAATGCGATACCCCCTAATAGCCCACACACTTAGAGGCGTGTGGCGCTAGTTAACCGATTGCAACATTGTTGCAATCGGTTATTAGAGGTTCTCCTGGGTGGCCGTCGTTCGACTACCGACCATGCGGCGGTCGGCCATCTTGGATCCTTTGTTCCCTCAGCGGGGTTATGTCGTCGAGCGCCTGGTACTAAAAACGGCTACTCGACGGCATGAGCCCCGCTGAGCCTCCAGGACGTTCGGGAGTTTCGGGACGTTCGGTATTTTGTTCCCTAATAGCAATCGGTTCTTTTTGTATGTTTTATATGAATTGTGTTGTTCGTGCGGCGTTTGGTTATTTTAGCTGGGATCTGAGCGGTAACCTCACGAATGATACCCTCAGACCCCAGCTATCTGCCGAACGTCCATTCGTGTAAATCCACTATATATTCACCAAGTTATTGATTTTTATGTGAATTATCGGTTCTGCTGCACGAGGGGATAGTCCACTTAACGGTGCATTCTGGGAAGACTATCCCTCTCGTGCAGCGGTGCCTGATGGGAGAAATATGGTGTAATGTAAGTCCCCCATGTAGTCCCCTCCTGTACAACCCCTGTAATGTCAGTTTGGAAACCCCTTGCATGGGGAACTGCATAAATACTGTGACCTGTGATTAAAACCTCAGTTGACTCCCAGCCTATGTGTCGTCTAGTTCTTGGGAAGGAAGGGTTACTGCAGTGCTGTTTGGATTATGGTATGCTGATTCCCTGGATTATCCTTTGTTGTTCCTGTTACCCAGCGGAGATATCGCGGATTATACTGCCTCTCCGCTACAGGTATAATATGCCGGTTACAGGATCCGGGCTGTGGATTGTGCTGGAGGAGGGTATAATATGCCGGTGACAGGGTGCGGGGCTGTGGATTGTGCTGGAGGAGGGTATAATATGCCGGTGACAGGGTGCGGGCTGTGGATTGTGCTGGAGGAGGGTATAATATGCCGGTTACAGGATCCGGGCTGTGGATTGTGCTGGAGGAGGGTATAATATGCCGGTGACAGGGTGCGGGGCTGTGGATTGTGCTGGAGGAGGGTATAATATGCCGGTTACAGGATCCGGGCTGTGGATTGTGCTGGAGGAGGGTATAATATGCCGGTTACAGGATCCGGGCTGTGGATTGTGCTGGAGGAGGGTATAATATGCCGGTGACAGGGTGCGGGGCTGTGGATTGTGCTGGAGGAGGGTATAATATGCCAGTTACAGGATCCGGGCTGTGGATTGTGCTGGAGGAGGGTATAATATGCCGGTTACAGGATCCGGGCTGTGTAGATTTCTTCTTTGTTGTTAGAAGTCAGCTATTTTTGTTTGTGAGCAATTCTATTACTTTTTATTAAATGTTGTTGTTGTTGTTGTTTTTCTGTTCTAATAATCTGGACCCTGCTCTTGGCTGTGTTTGGTTCATTGCAGAGAGTTTAATTCTGCCTGTTCTCCTCTCCAGGCTGTGGGATCCAAGGACCTATTGACTGTTCTTCGATGAATGATTTGTCGTGTGTTCTCCGTGAGCTTAGACTGGGATCCTGCCGCTTTACCAAGAGAGAGAGAGAAGTTCTGTCTCAGGCCTGGCCTCGAGACACCTTGCTTGTATCAAGACAGCACAAACTCTTCTTCATGAGCCCCCAATGATTTGTACAGTGTCTGTATGTGACCCGCATGCTATGTTGGAACTCAAGAAGGGAAAGAATTCCACTCCACACGTGTCCTGGGGAGACATTCTGCTTATCCTATACACAGAACAGCGGAGGTAGATACACTAGTTGTCTCATGTTACCTAGAGATGGGAACGGTGTGCGTCTTTGTGGTGACACCGTGGCTGGACCTCTGTGTTTGTGTATCTGTGATCTGGTTTCCAGCGGAAAAAAAGGACATTGTGAACCCCAGCGTTTAAAATTGCTCACAGCAAGTTTTTATGTGTAAAAAGTGTGTATATATATTTTAGCAGTTTTTATAAACTATAATATTATGTTGCACTGCTGGTCTTTGAAGTAAGTATGGTGGTAGCCAATCAAATTAGCTGAAACATTGTTGTTGTTTGTGTTGGACCCCCATCACTGTACATCCTTATTTATGGTTTGTCTCTTTTTCTGTCATTGTAAATAAACACATTTGGATCAGACACCACTTTGGTAGATTGAGATTTTTTTAGCACTTTTCTAACCAATGTAAAATCTTCCTAGAATAGTGGCAGGGATGTTATTTCCAACAGGTATCTTGTGTTGTGTTCTATATTTCTTTACTTCCTCTCGTGCTAACGAAGAAACAAACAGGAATAAATGATGTGTACACAGTCTTTATTAAATGAAGTGTTGCATTAACCAACCAGAGAGCAGCGCGCTGTATAAACGTCCCATCGCAGCGCCCTGTATAAACGTCCCATCGCAGCGCCCTGTATTAACGTCCCATCGCAGCGCCCTGTATAAACGTCCCATCGCAGCGCCCTGTATAAACGTCCCATCGCAGCGCCCTGTATAAACGTCCCATCGCAGCGCGCTGTATAAACGTCCCATCGCAGCGCGCTGTATAAACGTCCCATCGCAGCGCCCTGTATAAACGTCCCATCGCAGCGCTCTAAAATATCAAAGTTGTTCTAGTTGATGGTTAAATTGTTTTCTTAATATTGGGCTAAAAAAAAAAAAAATAGGGGTTGTCTTATACACGGAATATAATTTATTTTTAATTTTTTTAAGATACCGTAGCTTCTCTGCCATTTTCTCATGTATATGCAATAGGGGAATCCATTCATTCCTCCCCCGTCGCTCACTGTAGAAGTGGTATGACCCAATAAAACCTCTCATATCCCAGAGCCCTATCACCCCTGGCTCTGGGTTTGCAAGGTTCCTTTGAAGAGGGGATATCCCACACTGGAGATCATTCCAAAAGATGTATCCACTGGTAGTTCAATTATAGTGTGTGAAAAAAGAAGGGCAGGACCTCCAATTGAATATCATCACAGACAATTTATTTAATAACAAAGGTTAAAAACCCTTACTTGGGTTGTGGTGGGTATAGACTCAGTCACCCACATAAAAGCATATAAAGTAGTCAAGAATGCAAATCACTTCTTGGTTTCGTTCTGATCACGTGATCCGCTTCCGGGTCCGCCCCTCTGACGTACGTGTGACGCGTTTCGCACGCCTCCACAGGCTTCCTCCTCCGACGTCATGAAGTTCTAGCCCTCTTTTTATGTGCATGTCTCCTCCCCCCTTGTCACTCCATTGGTCGGGAGGCGTGGTTATCACGATCATATTTAACTAACCCATTAACTAAATATGTACAAGCTTAAAAATACCAAACCATGCTGAACTCCTTACATCAGCTCAAAAACTGATCTCATTATTACACACAGTATTAAATATTAGTATCCACATATCATTGGGTCTAGTGCTATATAGGTAACTAAATAAACTCGTCACCTTAGATGGTATTCATACATATACACAAAACATATGTAATAGAGAACTATCGTGTGTGAGTAGAAAAATATCATTGCTCCATACATAGAATTCAGTAAAGTTCACCATATCTGGATGCAGTTGTTTAAGGAGCATTCAGATCTCCTCTTTAGAGGAATATTTACCTCCAATCCCATACCTCTAAAGGGGATATTTATTTCTATTTTGTTATGTATGTTAACCCATAAAGGGCCAAATCTCATCATTTCACTTCAAAGAGACAGATAAAAAATAAAAAAAATAGATATAGAGAAAAATGTAAAATATAAAATTATAAACTTACAAAATCCCAAAAATATGTGACGACATTTTCCCAATAAAAATAATTATTCAACAGTATTTTTCAGAGACACCTCCAGCAATATATACATAGAATTAGACATCTTATTATAAATTGTAACAATATAAATCTTCAAAGATGTTTCAATTCAAATCTATAGACATTGGTGAGGAACACTTTCGTATACATTCATATGTTCTCAAAATTAAAACCTCAATATATAATCGCATCAAACAATCATATATCTATCAATTGAAATACCTACTAAGGGAAGAACGAAAGAAAAAACACATTAAATCTCAAATGGAGAAACATTCAGAAGAAATCATGGATGACCTGAATAAAGCAGAAAGAAGTTATCTCTATTAAAAAAAAAAATAATAATAAAAAGTACTTGAGAGATAAACAAGACTACATGGAGAATAGAGTACATGCCTTCTATAGAGGGAAATTTGACACTAGGAGGGGAGGGTTAGAACCCCAAAATAATATATCCAAGACAGAGTATCCCATGAGACAACATGATGGGTTTAGAGAACAACACAAACGGGTATACGCAACACAATGGAGACAGATATCAGTATAGGAGAAGGGGCTCTTTCAGTGGCAATAGACAACACCAAAGAAAGTATAATCCCAATCAACAACGGAGGAAAAATACCCAGAACAATGGCACTCCATTTAGGGAGTATGGGAGACACGCTACGAATAGATTTCAGAGAGACAGCCCAGACAGAGAAAGTAGAATCTAGAGGGGCTAAAGATCAGAAACCCAGGTCGGAATCTGTGTGGAGGTCGACCCAACACGGACCGGAGAAATTAGGTCGGCAAGAATTTGATTCTTTGGAATCTAGTAGACACGGAAATAGACATTCAACTCAGGGACGAGAAGGACATCCAAAAGATTTTTTTTTAGAATGGGAACACAAAAGAAAAGAAAGAATCAAACTAAACATCCCAAGCTCTCCATTAAAAAGATGAATAGAAAGAGAGGAACAAGAGGTGGAAGCAAGACACAGAAGGAAAAAGGGGAAGAATATAGATATCAAGGGAATATAGAACCTCTCCGAGATTACATTAAATACAATGCAGAATAGGGTATTGGCTACAGGAATTAAGTTTTGTCCAACAGCCAATGTGGACCATTTTTCGATTTTTATATAGATCTTAAAAAGTTTGTTAGGAAATTATGTTTAAAACGTTTTTTTCTAGAGAAGGTGGATACAACTGAGGAATTTAGAGGGGGTACACAATATAAGGAAGGGCATAACCTCACCTCTCTCAAAAAGGAATTGTAAGACCAATTCAATGGACGCATTTGAGGAATTAGTTATGCGAGAGGTAGAACGGATTAAGAGAATAAATAGGAATAGAATGAATCTTAATAAGGAAGAACAACAAGCTTTGGTCGAATTGCGAGATAATACAGAGATCAAACCAGCTGACAAGGGGGGTGGCATCGTTATTATGGATAGGGATATAGAGAAACACTGAGACAACTAAATGATGGGATTACATAAAAGAAATTGAAGGGTGACCCCACTAAAGAGAAAAAGGACATGTTTTCAGATTTCTTGGGCAGGGGTCTATTGATGGAAGTTATCTCCAAAACAGAATATGATTTAGTTGTTACATATCCCAGGATACCTGTGTATTACTTTCTGCCCAAGATCCATAAACATGAAACAAAACCACCAGGAAGGCCCATCATCTTTGAGATAGGTTCGGTGTCAGCCCCCTTGTCGGAGTATATTGATCTGTGTCTGCAACCCCTAGTTAAAGAAACTAAGGCATATTTAAGGGACACCAGCCAGATTCTCCAGGTGTTAGAGGGGGTGGAGTGGAGGGATGGAGACATCCTTGTCACTGTGGATGTGTCGTCCCTTTACTCGATCATTCCACATCAAAAGGGTATGGAGGCTGTTAAATTTTTCTTGTCCTCTTCCTACTTATCTTCAAATCCTCAAGCTTTCATTTTAGAAGGCATCCACCTTATCCTGACTAATAATTATTTTCATTTCTTAGATTCTTTTTACCTGCAGATCCTTGGAACGGCGATGGGGACTAGGTTCGCGCCCAGCTATGCGAATTTATTCGTGTCCCATTGGGAGGAGTCCTTTATATATGGGAACCGTGGCTGGGTGCGGAACCTGGTCACCTATCGCCGTTACATTGATGATCTATTTTGGATTTGGAGAGGTTCTACAGAAGAGCTGGCTTCGTTCTTGTCGTACCTGAACTCCAATTCATGGGGAATTCAACTTACCATGGACCATAGTGACAGCCAAGTTAATTTTTTGGATTTACGTATTTTTATTTCCAGTCACCGGATTTGTACCGAGACCTTCTTCAAGAAGGTAGATGTTAATAGTTTCATTTTTTTCATTTTTTATGATAGCTGACACTATGGCCCCTGGTTGGATAATATCCCTAAAGGACAAATGTTGAGGCTAAAAAGAAACTGTACGAGTAAGGAAACTTGTGAGACCCAAATACACAAGCTAATGGATCAATTCACAGCTAAACATTATCCAAAGACTCTACTGGGTAAGGCCTACAAAGAGAGAGAATGTAGATAGGAAAGATCTTTTTGAAAATTCCAACAGGAGGATGAGGGCTAAAGGAAATGAAAATAAGAATAATAATGATGAAGTTTCATTGATTTTTAACTACTCAGGGAAGAATAGAGAATTAAAGAATATTAACAAGTACTGGTTTATTCTAAAGGAAGACCCCCTGCTAGAGCAGATAGTCCCAAAAAAACAGGGATCATATATAGAGGGACACCAAGTATTAAGAACCATCTAGTTAAAAGCCGCCTCAAACAGGAAAATCCAAGTAAGAACTTTCTTAATCAAGATGTAGGTTTTTTCCAATGTGGGTACTGCTTGGCCTGTAGAACCACAGGAGCTCCCAAATGTGTTAAAAAAGAGCTGAGAGGAGGAAATACACAAGTATTGTGTTAAACACAATTAGTAGTATGACAGGTTATAAGTTGGTTATGTCCTTACATGCCCATGCAACATGCACTATGTGGGTAAAACCACTAGACAAGTGCACGTTCGCATTGAAGAGCATGTACGGAACATCAAAAGGGGCTTTAAGGAACACCCTCTATCCTCACATTTTATCCATAAACATTGGGGAGATGTTACTAAACTGCAGTTCATTGGGATAGAAAGAGTAAGCAGAAATTGGAGGGGTGAAAACCTGGATAATAAATTAGCAAAGCAAGAGATGAGCTGGGTGTTTAAATTAAAATCACTGTCCCCTAGGGGTTTAAATGGAGAATTTGAAGTTTGCCATTTTCTATAAATATCTCTCTTTAATTGTGTGTTTTTTATATAATATTTTATTTTTTTATTTTTTATATTTTTGATTTTCTGTATTGGACGATTTTTTGATTTATTATTTTATGATTTTATTATTATTTTTTTTATTATTACTTCTTTATTTTGAGATTTAATGTGTTTTTTCTTTCGTTCTTCCCTAAGTAGGTATTTCAATTGATAGATATATGATTGTTTGATGCGATTATATATTGATGTTTTAATTTTGAGAACATATGAATGTATACGAAAGTGTTCCTCACCAATGTCTATAGATTTGAATTGAAACATCTTTGAAGATTTATATTGTTACAATTTATAATAAGATGTCTAATTCTATGTATATATTGCTGGAGGTGTCTCTGAAAAATACTGTTGAATAATTATTTTTATTGGGAAAATGTCGTCACATATTTTTTGGATTTTGTAAGTTTATAATTTTATATTTTACATTTTTCTCTATATCTATTTTTTTTATTTTTTATCTGTCTCTTTGAAGTGAAATGATGAGATTTGGCCCTTTATGGGTTAACATACATAACAAAATAGAAATAAATATCCCCTTTAGAGGTATGGGATTGGAGGTAAATATTCCTCTAAAGAGGAGATCTGAATGCTCCTTAAACAACTGCATCCAGATATGGTGAACTTTACTGAATTCTATGTATGGAGCAATGATATTTTTCTACTCACACACGATAGTTCTCTATTACATATGTTTTGTGTATATGTATGAATACCATCTAAGGTGACGAGTTTATTTAGTTACCTATATAGCACTAGACCCAATGATATGTGGATACTAATATTTAATACTGTGTGTAATAATGAGATCAGTTTTTGAGCTGATGTAAGGAGTTCAGCATGGTTTGGTATTTTTAAGCTTGTACATATTTAGTTAATGGGTTAGTTAAATATGATCGTGATAACCACGCCTCCCGACCAATGGAGTGACAAGGGGGGAGGAGACATGCACATAAAAAGAGGGCTAGAACTTCATGACGTCGGAGGAGGAAGCCTGTGGAGGCGTGCGAAACGCGTCACACGTACGTCAGAGGGGCGGACCCGGAAGCGGATCACGTGATCAGAACGAAACCAAGAAGTGATTTGCATTCTTGACTACTTTATATGCTTTTATGTGGGTGACTGAGTCTATACCCACCACAACCCAAGTAAGGGTTTTTAACCTTTGTTATTAAATAAATTGTCTGTGATGATATTCAATTGGAGGTCCTGCCCTTCTTTTTTCACACACTATAATTGAACTACCAGTGGATACATCTTTTGGAACGATCTCCAGTGTGGGATATCCCTTCTTCAAAGGAACCTTGCAAACCCAGAGCCAGGGGTGATAGGGCTCTGGGATATGTGAGTTCTTTCCCTTAGATCTCTCCTTTTTTTCATTTATGTTTATTCAGATTGTCTGCACTATTTGTTTTTTATATTTACAGATTAGGTTGGCGCGCTTTATTTTGGCAATTATTACTCTCTACACACTTTTGTGTGCATTGTTGGTTTAAGCTTTGCCATATTGTCTGCATTATATCCCACAGCGCTTACACATTGGTTCTTTTTGCAGACCAATTCCCCCACAGGCTGTTAATCATTCCTAGAAGATAAATGAGGGTAAACGCTAGTTAGTGGTTAAATGACTGTATTCCATATACCTAAATCAAAGCCTCACTAAAGTCATAGAGATATTCCAGAATATTTTGGCATGGTTATTTGGAGAGGAACTCTTAGATTGCCAAGAAAAGGGCACACTTTTTTAAATAAGATTTAGTGTTGTCTGATTCTGCTCACAAAATGTTCATTGGTTATTGGTTTGGATTGTGGTACTTTCAGGATGATATAAACTTGCCATGGCCTGCAGCTAAAGGGACACTAGCTGTATCTACCTCCACTTTAGTTTTCATAGTATCACAGCGCCTTCTCTGCCCTGGGAGTTGCAGTTCAATGTCCTTATTACGTAGACAGATGCGAACTGAACTGCAAGTCCTAGAACCTTCTATTACAAGCAAATGTGATGTTTTAATGTGTTAATTAGCTCCTTGCAGTTCGGGTTCGGAAAGAGAGCGGGTCCTCATTGGCCAAACTACCTCCTGGAGTTACCGAAGTCCAAGGCGATTATGTAATGTACAGGGATTTGCATAAACACAGGGTACTTCAGTGAGTTTTTTTAATCTTTTATTCTTTTTTGATTTACTGTGCTATCTATACAGTGCATTTAAAATCCAGTCTGGGTTCCCTTTTAACACTTTTCTCTGTATGTTAATATATGGTTTAATGGGAGGTAGCATTGATTATGGTGTGAGGTTTTTATTTTATTTTTTTTCTCTACCAATTTGTGCATATTTTTGCAATAATTCTTTTTTGCAATTGTTTGTGTGTGCATTGCCCTTCCTATTACTTCATACATGGAATGTTTTTACATCTCCCTAAATCTTATCCTTTTTTTTTTCTCTCTCTCTAACTTCGGGACTTACAGATGGCATCTATGCATGCATTGGTACATTCATTAAAACATCACGCAAATAGTGTCTTCCAGTGAATATCTGCTGGGCGATTATTTACCAAGATGCACAAATCAAATCTCAATTCTTTTTTACATCACTTTGCTGATTGCGTAAACGGTAGGTGCAATGACAAATACAAAACCTTGGATAGGCTTGGCAATTTATGGATTTGGGAGTTCGATTCACAGAAAGGTCTCCTGTAGTCCTAAGACTCTGCTGGATACACCTTCACCCCATGAAGCAGAACTACATTAGATTTGGGCTGGGATAAGCTGCATTGCTGGCAAGATATTGACTGATGAAGACTGGATGTACAAGATCCCCGGGATGGCTTGTCATAACATCAAAGACACTTTTGTTGGGTGGCACAGCTCTTAGCAGGTTGTCTAGATCTAATGATGGTTGACGTGTTCCTGGGGTTTGAACTTCCGGATTGGTAGGTGGTGGCACTAGTCCCCAATATGATGTACTGAAATAGGGACGAGAGCCATAAGTGTGATAAGTAAAGTGCGGAATTGGGAGAAAGGGCAGGACACTGGGTGGTGCCACTACATTTGGTGCCAGACTCTTTGTGTATGATGTTGGTAAATCACACACATTATGGAGATGATTTTTGGGGAATTCAGATGGAGAATAACTTCCTTCATCAGATTCGGTGCAGTTGCTGCTGGTGTCTTCATCCTCTCTCGGTCGTTTGGTAAGGAGACATTTTCTTTGTGCGGGACTTTCAGGCAAATCTTTTTGTCTTTCTTTCTCATCATCAGAGCTCTGAGGAGAGTCAGGAGACATGCTGGACATAGAAGATAATATAGATTTGTTAGTGGAACCTTCTTGGCTCCTGGAGTTTCCAAGTGAAGAGTTTTTGGAAGGTGTATTCAAAAGAGATGGTGTGCTCCACATGACGCTTCCAGCACTAATCTCAGAATGCATTTGGTTGTCTAGTGTATTGGAAAGTTCTGGCAAATCCACATCCTGTAAATCATGAAGAAGAGTGTCAATCATGAAAGACGTGTTGAATTTGTTTGTAGAGATAGTTTGGAGTGACTCTTCTCCAATGGCCATAGGACTTTCAGAGGAACTACTAGTATCTGACATCAGCTGGAGTGTACCCCCCTTAGCACCATATTTACAGCCATGTAAGATGAACGGAGACAAGTCCTGAACAAATATTTTGGATTCAGATCGTGTCATTGCTGTGTTCTGGATCTTCATTGCATCAGAAGGAATTTGGGTCACATCTACAGTCCAGAAGTTTCCCTTGGCTTTGGGCTTAGAGGGGTCTTTCAGCACCTATAGGGAACAATAAAAATAGTATGAGAAAATAAATGACAACTGATAACATAAAGATCTATGTTGTGACCATGAAACCATTTTGCATTGATAGTAAGTAACCCATTAATACTTATCACAGGTGGGAGAAAGGGATATTCCATTGATCTCCCTATGCTGGGATGTATAGTAACTTTTATCCACTAGTGCAAGGGTTCCCAACATGTGCTATGCATACCCCCGGGGGTACAATCCAGTGGGGCCCCCTCGGGGTGTACACGAAA